CGTCATGCACGCGCGCAGCCCCGATATGAGCTCCTCCCGCGTCACCCCTGATGATGGTGGCGGTGGTGGTGGTGGGTTGTGGTGGCGGTGATGATGAGGAGGAGAAGGATGGTGGGGGGAGAGTTGTGGTTGGTCGTGACGACGTCTGAGATACATCGACATGGCAGCGTAGTGTTGTGCACACACACACACACACACACACACACACACACACACACACACACACACACACACAATACACACCGTAAGGGTCGTTGGGCGGGGGTGTGAATGTGATTGGGAAGTAGCAGGACGACGCCTCAAAGAGATCATCGACGTAGCGTGAGATTGGGAACGTGGACGCAACAAACTGCAATCATCACCATCATCATTGGTGGTGGTCATGGTGTTGTTGTTGTTGTTGTTGTTGTTGTTGTTGTTGTTGTTGTTGTTGTTGTTGTTGTTGTTGTTGGAAGAGGTGAGAACACAAGAGTGGTCTGCAAGGAACATGAAGTTGGGGAGCGGAAGAAACACTTAAAACACAAAACGTGTGCACAAGCGCATGCACTTGCACTTGTACTTGCACACACATGAATGCATGCACACAACACATGAATGCATGCACACAACACATGAATGCATGCACACAACACATGAATGCATGCACACAACACATGAATGCATGCACACACACACACACACAAGAAGGCGTGCACGTGTGCGCGGACCGGAACGAGGCGGAAGACGAGGACGAGGCAGCGCGGGTCCTTTTCGCCATCAAATTGCTGGAGAAACCCGCCAACAAACTCCTCCCCCATTGTCTGCACACATGCACGCACGCAAGGACGGTAAATAGCAGGTACATGGTGTTGATGTTTCACACCGTGGACAGACGGACGAACTGACGGGCGGACAGACACACACACACACACACACACACACGCAGACAAACAGCATCGTACCCTGCTGAGGTAAGCGCCAAACTTGTCCAAGAGCTCTGAGATGAGCTGGAACACGAGGAGGCGGATGGTCAAGGCCTGTGCCTGCAAGCAACAACAAGTGTGATGTCGCGTGATGAGGATGGCAGAACTGGCGGTAGCAGTCATTGTTTGATGCACCGTGTGCGTGTGCGTAAGACACTGTGTGTACCTGAACAAACAGCTTCTGGAAGAGCGCTTTGCACATGGTGGCCGCCTGCTCCTTGCTGATGGCAGACGCTTTCACCTGACACGCGGCGCGCGTGTACGTGAGAGGGCAGAGTGAGGGAGAGTGAGGGTGAGAGACAGATGTGGTCTATCATCACATGGTGTGTCAGGTTTAGCAAAGGCAAGAAGGTGCATAAACTATGCGCATGTGTGTTTGGTGGTGGGTATTGGTTCTCACCAGAGCGAGGAGCCCCCTGAGGCATGGGGTGGTGCTTGGATGGTCATCCAGCCGATCACACAGAAACTGCAGCAGCACAGGCACTAAAGATGGGTAGCATCGGCAAGGTGGCGATGTGAATTGCGTGAGTAGTGCGAGCAGTGTAAGCAGTGTGAATTTTGATGATGTCGAACGAACGCGAAGAGTGGGGCACCGCCGCTTGCTCAGTGCAGTTCAAACCAGGGCAATCACTCACACGCACTCTCACCAACACATACACATACCTGCTGATGTGAGCTCCTCCTTCTCAGTCTGCACCATTAGGTCAACAAGGGCCTGGGTGCCCTTGGTCCGAAGTGGACCATTCGTGGACGTCAAGAGCGGCCTGTGTGTGACAACAGAGCGTGAGGTGATCGGAGGAAGGAACAAAACCGACAGCAGGATATCCACAGCGAAAGGCACAACTTTTTCTTGGGGGGGGGTGGGCGGAACAAGATAGGTTTCCCCTTCTTCCAACCGCACCCGAGCTCTGAGACGGCATCGGTCAAGGGCACCTTGCCCTCCGAAAGGCCTGCAAATGGAGAGGTGGGGGTGTGTGAGCCAGTGCGGGTGTGCGTGTATCGTGTTGTGCTGTCTGTGTCTCCCTTGTCTCTACACGCACACACACACACACACACAGACAGTCGCGCGCACACACAGACAGTCGCACACACAGACAGTCGCGCGCACACACACACAGACAGTCGCACACACACACATACACACACACACACACACACACACACACACACACACACACACAGTCGCACGTTGCAGCACGTCGTCCATGGTTGCCGATAACAGAGGGAAAATATGGTGATTCTTCCCAACTTACCTTGAACCAGAACAACAGAGCCAACAAGAAGCAAGCAAGATGCTGGTTGGTGGTAACTCTGCGCCCACGATGCACCACCGCTCCCGCGCGTGTTGTTATTGGTGTTGGCTGCTTGTTGTGTCCATCGTTCTGTGTGCGCATGCTGTGGTCATGGTGTGTGTGTGTGTCGCACGCATCACCCTTCCTGGAGCAGCTCTCACGCGCGGCTCACACCTCTTGTCTCGCGTGCTCGTGCCACGTACACAACACAACCAGATTGCGGTGGAAGGCTGCTGCCACGGCGAGCTGGACAACATCTATGCGTCGCTGCAGGATGCGGAGCGGCAGACGGGGCAGCGCGTCGACCTCCTGCTCTGCTGCGGCGATTTCCAGGTGGGTGTCGGTAGCTCAATGGGCATGGTGAAGCAAATGCGTGCATGTGGTTGCGTGTATGTCGTGTATGTGGTGTGTGTGGTGTGTGTGGTGTGTGTGTGTGTGCTTGTGTGCTTGTGTGCATGGCGCGTTTACATCACCACTACTCACACTCGTGCTGTGCATGATGTCTATGATCTGTGCTCCCTCTTTCGTTTATGTGTGCCTTTTCAAGGCGGTGCGCAACCAGGCCGATCTCTCAACAATGGCTTGCCCAGACAAGTACAAGAGTATGCGAACCTTCTACAAGTACTACAAGGGCGAGAAGGTGCGTGTGCGCGTGTGCGCCGATGCACGTGTTCATCGTTCGGTCTAGTGTGCAGCTGAGAAGTGCATCTCACATTGTCCACCATACTATGTTGCGTGCGCGCCACTTGCCTCCTTTATCACCCACACCGCCTTTGCTCCCCTTCTCCTGTTCACAGAAAGCGCCTGTGCTGACTATCTTCATTGGCGGCAACCACGAGGCGAGCAACCACATGTGGGAGCTCCCTTACGGCGGATGGTAAGTCGCTCACAGAGAGACTGGGCCTGAGCCATCGTGTGTACGCCTGTGGGGTGTTTCTTGGTGGCGGTATTCTTTGATCTGTGTTGCCCGTGTAGTTTGGGATGTCCGTGTTGTCTGTGTTGTCTGTATCACGTCTTTGGCTGTACCATTGGCATCGTGATGGCCCAACATGCATTCAAGCCACTCACTCGACTTACCCTTGCCACTCTACATCATCCCCTGCGATCACATCACTCGTTCACCAGGGTGGCGCCCAACATCTACTATCTTGGGTTTGGCGGCGTGGTGACTGTGAACGGCGTGCGAATTGGCGGGCTGAGCGGCATCTTCAACCACCGCCATTACCATCTCGGTCGGTTTGTTGGTTTGCTCCACTTGTGGAAAGAAGGGGGTGTTGGGTGTTGCCCTTCGTCGCTGTGCCTACTGTGCCTGCTGTGGTCACGCGTAGCGGGTGCTCTGTATTTGCATGCACACACCTTAAAGCGGGCAAGCAGGCCCTCACTGTGTGTGTGTGCGTGTGTGTGTGTGCGTATGTATGTACGTATGTATGTATGTGTGTGTGTGTGTGTGTGTGTGTGTGTGTGTGTGTGTGTGTGTGTGTTTGCAGGCCATTCCGAGATGCCGCCGTTCACATCGGGTTCGCAGCGGAGCATCTACCACGTCCGCGAATTCGACGTAATCACCGCAATCGCGTTGCCTGAACCAATGACCACTTGCTTGTCGGTTTGTGCATGTGTGTGTGTGCATATGTGTGTGTGATGGATGTGCGTTGACACTGGGAGCACCACAACCTCAACCACCGCCACTGTGATTGCAGGTGTTTCAGCTGAAGCAGCTGTCCCGGCCTGTGGATGTGTTTCTCTCGCACGATTGGCCATCGCGCATCGCCCATCACGGCGACACAAACGCCCTCATCAGGTGTGTGTGTGTGTGTGTGTGTGTGTGTGTGTGTGTGTGTGTGTGTGTGTGTGTGTGTGTGTGTGTGTGTGTGGTCATGATGCTCCCTTGACGATTGCTTGCTGGACTGTTCCCTTCCTCAGTCATTCATTCGCTCGTTCTTGCACACATGTGTGAGCAGACGGAAGCCGTTCCTCAAGGACGAAATCTACAACGAAACGCTTGGTATTGCCGTTGCTGCTGCGTCGTGCCATCACCACACACCGTGTGCACATGTGGCGGCCCATACTTGCGTCCACTTTTTCTCACCTTTTCACTCACGTACATGCTCACATCACACACATTCACACACACACACACACACATCCATACACACACGCATCCACACACACACACACACACACACACACACACACACACACACACACACACACACACACACACACACACACACACACACACACACACACACACACACACACACACACACACACATTCACAACACAGCAGCACACAAACAAGTGTGAGGACGCCGCAGAAGACTCACGTGGTGGGAGAGGAGAACCAAATCTGTTTGTTGGGGGTCTGCTTGTTGATGACATAAGTGCCATGCTCGTCCAGCGCCAGCGTCAGCACACCATTCTGCATGACAGCAACAGCAACACGGTGAGGCGGACGAGTATGCATACACAGACACAGACATAAGTACAGACAGACAAAGACACAGACACAGACATAGGTACGCATACATCAACATACATGGACACACACGCATACGAACACCAACGCGAACGTCCATATTCACGCACACCCACACACACACCGATAGCGAGACGTCGTAGTTCTCTGAGCCCGTGGCACCGTCAATCAAGTCCTCGAATGTGTCGTGCATGGCATCCAACCACGCGTCCGCCAGCTTGTGATACTCGGGTGTTGTCAGTCTGCGGCGGTCGCAGCACCAGGATGGCAGAAGAGAGCCACATGAAGCGAACGCAGTGATACACGGAGAACATTACGCACGAAGCAGATGCAGTCACACACTAAAAACACACACACACACACACGCACACACACACACACACATACACACACACATACACAGAGCACGCTTACGTGGAAGAGAGGCGAATGGCACGCAAGACACTTGTGCAGGGTGTTGTTGTCCTGCGTTGGAGGAGGGAGGGGTGCGCTGCAGAAGCCGGCATTGCTGCCAGCAACCTTGTGCTCCTCAGCTGACGACCTACCAGCCGCGTCCGCGCCCCTGCCCTCGCCACCCGACTCAGCAACACTGCCGCTCGTGACGCCGCTCGTCCACCACTCATCATCGTCTGTCTGCTGCTGTTGTTGACTTGACGTGCAAGAAAGAAATTAATGACGACTTTCAAGGCAGGCGCTTGAGCGCTGCTTTTGTGACAGACACACACATACACACACACACACACACACACACACACACACACACACACACACACACACACACACACACACACACACACACACACACACAGCTCCGTTCTCTTTTGCCAACTTCCACAGCCGTGTGCCAGTATGTCGTTTACATGCATAACAGAAAGGACTACCCACGAAATAAGATGCTTGTCACATGCACTCAGCCGCATGCACATGCATACACACGTGTACACGAGCATACGTTACATGCACACACACACACAATGCATATGCATGTAAGTGCAGCCAAGCAAACGGGACGCTATGCAGCACGCAGCTGATGGCTGCCTGACTTAATGTTAGGGATCACATAACAGATAACACAAACCAGTCTCTGAGAAAGTATACAAGGGGGCCTTTGACTACGTGTGTAGGAGCAAGAAAGCGGGGGAAAGGAACACCTGAGGAAGGGATGATGCATGTGCGTTGGCTTCGATCACATGCGACACCAAAATCATGTGCAATCATGCATGTCTACAACAAACTTGTCCACAGTCTCGCGTCACGAGGTCATGATGGTCGAGAGGACGTTGGCGGATGTGTTTGTGCGGACGTATTGGAAGTCGACGTGGCGCGACTTGTGCTCCTCCTTCTCCCACGACGCCTTGATGAAGGGGCTCTGGTCATAGAAATACTCAACTGCGCGCGCGCGCGCGCGCGCGCGTGTGTGTGTGTGTGTGTGTGTGTGTGTGTGTGTGTGTTGTGCATGAGGAGGTGATGGAGCCACAAAATAGACACTCGCCGCAACACGGCTACATGCATCACCGACCCCACCAAACACATTCCCCTCACCGTTTCCCTCACGCTCCCTCCCTCTCCCTCCCTCTCCCTCCCTCTCCCTCACCTCTCCCTCCCTCACCCTCACCCTCGAGCTTCTCGTCATTTGATCCGATGCGCGTGCGTTCAACGAATGTGGGGAATCCCTCGATGCCAAGCTTGATCTTCTTCAGGCCTTTGTCCTTCAGCAGCTGCCGCGCAATGTTGCGATTCTCGTACGAGAACAGAAACCGGTTCAGCGCAGTGTCGTACACAACTGCAGCGGGTGGTGGTGGTGTTGTTGTGTTGTGTGTCTGTGTGTGAGCTGGAACAAGCTGGGGCGGAAACGAGGGGTGCAGGCCGGAAATGGCGCAGCAAACACACACACACACACACACATGCATGAACAAGACCTTTTGCAAGCTGCTCGCCGAGGCTCGGTGGCAGGTCTTCGTCCCACTCCACCGTCTGCTCGCTGCGGAGAACGACAATGTGGCACTTTCGGTCGCCAATCTCAGCACACCTGATGATGCAACACACAACAACGCAGCCGTGTTCAGGTCACACAGACGTGCAGCCGCACAAGCACACACACACACACACACGCACGCACACAGACGCACACACACACACACACACACACACACACACACACACACACACACACACACACACACACACACACACACACACACACACACACACACACACACACACACACACACACACACGCACGCACAAGACTGCACTGACTTTGCCATTGCCGGGAGGAGGCTGTGCTTGAGAAAGGCCTCGAACTGGCGGATGGCACCCTTGTTTGAAAGCTCGTGCAGCAGCTTGCCCACGTTGTCGCAGTCAATGGACGTGTGGTTGAAGGGGATGAGGAAGAAGTTGCATGCCTCGTGCAGCTCCGAGACAGGCGTGGTGGCCGGGCACTCCACCTTGCCTGTCCGGTAATACTTGATGATGGCGGAAAACGCGTCCGCCGAGACGGGGCAGTCGATGACGTAATCGCCACGCTCGTTGACACGGCTGCGCTCGAGCGAGCTGGAGAACATGCGGCTCAGCATCGTGTCGGGATGGCGGTTGAAGATGCTAAACGGTGGACATGACGCACACAGAAAGCAGCACAGTGGTGACAAGCATGAGGATACGCGCGTGTGCGTGCGTGTGTGTGTGTGTTTGTGTGTGTGTGTGTGAGTGTTTGTGTGTGTGTGGTGTAATGCTATGCACACACATCCAGATGCAAGTGCATCGGAGAGACACAAGTTCAATACACAAGGCGAGTGCATGCTTCAAATTGAGAGGAGCGTACAGCGGGTCCACGACGAAGCGCCTGCCGCCGACGACTATGGACACCTCGCGCTCGCGTTTCCTTCGCTCCTCTTCCTCAACCTTCTTGGTCTGCTCAGCTCCATCACCGGTACCATCACTGCCCACCCCGGCACCATCGGCCTTGTCAGGTGCCGCTTGCGGCAGGCCAGATACTGCTGTGGGCAGTGCTACTGTGCCGCTGCGTGTATGCTGTGTGCGTTGCCGTTGTTGGTGTTGCTGTGTGGCGCTGTCACTGTCATCCTGCCAGTTGCCGGATGGGGAACCAGGCGATGTGGGGGTTACAGTTCCATCATCGCCAACAAGAGTTGTATCATCATTGTCATCGTCGTCGTCGTCGTCGTCGTTGTTAATGCTGAGACCATGATGGCCGCGATGTGTGCCATCTCGGCGCTGGTCCTGGTCAAGCGACCTGCTTGACGAGAGGCCCGGCCTGGAGGTAGGGGTTACTGTGCCGTGCACGTTGACGCGTGACCGTCCGCGCCGGTTTGTTTCCGAGGTGAACGAGCTTGAGCGGCGGCGGGCGGCGGCCGGGCTGCTGCTGCGGCGCGCCGACGACCGCCGCGACATGCTCGGCGACTGTCGTAAAGAGCAGCGGAGGAAGGGTGAATGTGTGTGAGCGTGCATTTGTGTTCGTGTGTGTGTGTGTGTGTATGTGTGTGTGTATGTGTGTGTGTGTGTGTGCGTGTGTGTGTGTGTGTGTGTGTGCATGTGTGTGTGCATGTGTGTATGAGTATGCGTGTCCGTGACGAGAAATGTAAACATTTAAATGAATGCAGAGGAGGCGCGTGCATGCACGCACCATGGGTGGGCTCCTGATTTCCACAACGTCTGCTGCGGAGGAGGTTGGTGTTCTTCTCGTGGAGGATTCATCGCGTTGCATGCGCCGGCGCGTTGACGGTGGTGGGGATGCCGCGCGTGCGAACGACGCCGGAATCGTCACCGTGTCTGACCCTTCCTGAACTTGCAGCACCTAGTGTGTGTGTGTGCGCATATGTGTGTGTGTGTGTGTGTGTGTGATGTGAGATGGTTGGGAGGGGGTGAGGCTTCCTTGTGCGTGGCCGTGGCCGTGGCGTTGCACATTCAAAACAAACAGAGCTGCACGACATGATATCTCTCAACACAAATACGAACAACAACAACACCAAATACACAAATACACAAATACACAAATACACAAATACAAATACACAAATACACAAATACACACACACACACACACGCACACACACACACACACACACACACACACACACACACACACACACACACCGTGGAAGGGGAGACTGGTGTCTGTTCCAGGATGTGCGACAAGCTCGTGTCGCTGTCGGTCTGCACCACTCGAACGTCCGTCATAGTCGTGGTGGTGTGGTTTGGCTGACTCCACGAACTACTTTAAATGCTGTTGAGTGCCCACATATTCGCTCAAAACAAGTCTGTACGTGTTTGAAGGAAGTCTCTGAAACGGCGCTCCTGCCTGCCGCCGCTCGCTCAAACGCGTCCAAACGAACAAGGCAAGAAGCGAGGCAAGAAGCGAGGCAACAAGGCAAGCCACCTCGCCTCTTGCCTTTCCTTGTGCACGGTTCCTCCAGCGCGGTTGTGCACTGCATTCCCCCCACCAACAGCGCAGCCGATGCAGACCAAAGGAGGACCATCATGGCACAGCGACAGCCAGTGCGACACACACAACAACAGCAGCAGCAACAACAGCAGCAGCCTGCTCGGTACTCTGCCCATGCTGCCTCGCGTTTCCTTCAAATGAGAAAGCTGCAGTCCAAGGTGTGAGTGAGAGTGTGTTTGTTTGCTGTTGTTGTTGTGGTTGTTGTTGTTGTTGTTGTTGTTGTTGTTGTTGTTGTTGTTGTTGTTGTTGTTGTTGTTGTTGTTGTTGTTGTTGTTGTTGTTGTTGTTGTTGTTGTTGTTGTTGTTGTTGTTGTTGTTGTTGTTGTTGTTGTTGTTGTTGTTGAAGTTGGTTGATTGCCAGTTGCCGTCTCTTGGCGTCGCTCTTGGCGTCTCTCTTGACGTCTCTCTTGACGTCTCTCTTGACGTCTCTGTTGTCGCGTGTTGTTGTGTTTGAGCGCGATTCGCTCAAAGAAGACACGCGCCCTGCAATGCAAACAGTTCCATGACTATGGCGGAAGCAGCTTCGCGGCTCTTCACACCAACGTTGGCAGCAAATCCATTTCCTCTGGCTTTGCCAGCCGTGACACGCCTGCGCCTCGCACCTACAATCCGGCATCCACCGCCAGCACTTCAGACAATCACACGTCCCCAGCAGCATATTCTGCCTCTGCTTCTACACCTACATCCGCTGTCGCTGGCGTATTTTCTCCGTCGTCGCTCCTGGGCACCACGAGCGTCGCCAACGAAAGGGGTAATTGCACGTGTGTGTGTATGCATGTGTGTGTATGTGTGTGCGTGTGTGTGTCTGTGTGTGTGTATGCGTGTGTGTGGGTGTGTGTGCGTGCGTGCGTGTGTGTGTGTGTGTGTGCAATGTTGATGTCGATGCGCTGTGGAGCTGTGAGTAGCCTTGCAAACACTGATCAGAGCATACACATTCACACATTCACACGTACACACGCACATTCAAACACATTTCGCCGTGCACCATCAGCCTTTGACACATCACCAAGCAAGCTCGCGCGCGTCTCATCCCTCCATGTCCGGCGTGTCTGTCGAAAGGTGTGCGTTGCATGTATGAGGCCGCACACTGGAACACTTGCGCACTGATGCAGTGGAGGTGGTTTGCCTGAGCTGAAGTCTTCCTGTTCCCATGCACTCATACGCTCATCCACTCACACAACCCCCCCCCCACACACACACACACACAACAACACACATGCACTCACACAACCCCCCCCCCCACACACACACACACGCGCACACACACACACACACGCATACAACATTCGCACAGACACTGCCGACGACGACAACACCGCAGCGGCGGCGCCGGCAGCAGCGGTTCAGCTTGAAGGAGCTGCAGCAAGGAAGCACGGGCACCTCATCGTCCCTCATGGCAGCTGGTGCTAATGCAGCCGCCACAAGCACGAGCAGCGAAAGCGACCACTTTGTGCAGCAGCATTCATCCTCCCACGCAAGCCATCACCCCCACCATGAACACCACCGCCATCGCCACCATCGCCACCACAACAAACACGGAATCGGCAACGACGACGACGATGATGATGATTTTACAGACCATGACGGTGGTCGTGGTGTTCATGGGGTTGCACAGCGGGGGCATGCGAGCAGGAAGAAGCACAAGGTCAAGAAGAGGAGGAAGAGGGGAAAGGAGAAGGAGGACAAGCGGGCACGAAGGAAGCGAAGAACGGAGAAGGAACGCCGCAAGCGAGAGCACACGCTACAGGAAGCAGAACAGCGGCGCAAAGCCAAGCTGGCACTCGACACGACAGAGACGAGCGACAGCGACGCCGATGACAATAACGACGACGATGAGGAGGTGATGCCACATGTCCTCGGACCAGCAGCAGCAGCAGCAACAGCACTGAAAACCCGCGGAGAAGAAGACCATGACAGCGACGAAGGGGAAGCCAAGGCGACTGCTGCTGATGGTCGTCCTGGTGGTGGCTCTGCTTCCATGGATCTCAGAGACGACGATGATGATGACAAAGGCAGTGACGCCAACAATGACAACAACGACAACGCTAATGGCGTGGCAGCGCAAGATGAGGTGTCGCTGCTGGACATTCCGTCCGATGACCGGAGGACGAGCAAACATGGCCGCAGCAGCTGTGGCAATAAGGGCAGTGGTGTTGAGGAGAAGACGTTTTCGAGTCCAAACGCACGCACACGCCGGCGAACAAGACGGCGACGCACGCGTGGACCCATCGGCGGTAACGACGACAATGGCGACAACACCGGGTCCCGCGCTGGCCGCGGCGATGGCGGTCGCCGTGTGTCGACACGTCACAAGAGTGGTAGCGACCGCAAGCAGGTGAGGGCGCCGACCAGCCCTCGCCTGCGCCGCCACCACCAGCGAACAGCGGGCGGGCTCGTGTTTGACCTGAACGGCATTATTACACCCAGTGCCGGCGGTGCCGGTGGGGGTGGGGTTGGGTTCCGTGGCCGGGGTGGGCGACGCAGCGATCGCACACACGCGCAGCTGCACCTGGACCTGTCTCCTCCCGGACACGCCCGCGACAGCGCTGATGATGATGATGGTGATGATGGGGGTGACCATGGTGGTAAGAGTGGGAGCGAGGATGGTATTTACGGTCGGCATGCAGCGGCACGGCAGACAACGGTAGCGCAAAAGACGAAGAGCACCCATGAACAGCAGCAACAGCACCACACGCATCCCACACTTGCCAGCACGCGTGCACAGACTGCCAAGGATGGCAAGGATGGCAAGAAGAACGGCAACGAGGGTGACAATGATGACGATGATGATGATGATGATGATGATGATGATGACGGTGATGATGACGATGATGACACTGGACGCTACTCCCCCTCGTTTTCCTCGTCCCTGTCATCATCGCCACATGGGCGGAACACCACCACCGCCGCCGTCGCTGCCACTCGCGCACCGCTGCGCCGCGTTCGCCGTCGCCGTAACCGCCGCCGCGTCGACAACAGCGTGAACGCGCCGGCACCAGCCCAGCCGTCAACCACCTCGTTGTCCTCATCATCATCATCGCCTTCATCATCATCATCATCATCATCATCCTCCTCCTCGTCTCCATCGTCATCGTGCCCGACGTCCCCGTCATCCCCATCATCGCTGACATCCTCCGTCAGCTCACTGTCGCCGCAGCCACGACGGCACCCTGCGCACAACGCAGGCGCGAGTCATCGCGGCGATGCTGGCGGCGGTGATGATGGTGATGGCGGTGGCGGTGGGTTGAGGCGAAAGCGCCACAAGCCACACACGGATGCAGAGCACGGCCGCGCTGCCAATGCGGGGCATGGTGGTGCTGATGCTTGTGGTGGCACCACTGAACCGCACTTGTGGACGACTTTTAGCACCGACTTGCCGATGGATGGACAGGATTTCGTGTCCACTTCTCCGCCAATGGCTCGCGGAAAGGCTGGCCCAACACAGCGGTACGTGTGTGTGTATGTGTGTGTGTATGCGCGCGCGTGTGTGTGTGTGTGTGTTTTGGTTGCACATTGGGTATGATGTTGTTACACCACTACAAAATCAACGTGATTCAGCACACTCGCCTGCCGAACTTCCTTCCTTCTGCAACTCGCCTCACATTTCCGCCTGTTGAATGGCTTGGTACACGTTGGCTCGCTTTTTTTTTTTTTTTGCTCGCCTGTCCTGTCATTTTTCACCTATGCAGTCCTCCCATCCGCCCCTGGGTCGTGACGCAATCGGATGTGCCAGAGATACTTCGTGGCCCTCCCCTTCAGCCCTGGCAGGCAACCTGCACTGGACACTTGGTCCCATACACCTTTGTCTTCCACGCCCGCCGCCGCGAATTGTACATGGTCGACCACTCCGGTATGCGCTCGCGCGCATGTGTGTGTGTGTGTGTGTGTGTGTGTGTGTGTGTGTGTGTGTGTGTGTGTGTGTGTGTGTGTGTGTGTGTGTGTGTGTGTGGTTGCATGTGCTTGCATGCGGCGCGCAACTTCTGGGGCGAGCGTGCATGGTCATGACCACCTTACCCTCGTGCATTCACTGGGTCGACAGGCACGCGGTTTGTGGTGTTTCGCGCCCGAGGCAGGAACCAGTTCTTCTCCACGGGAAATCAAATCGCCATCAAGGTGAGGACGGTGCACAAGCAGTTACACACCACGCCATTGTCACATGCACATGCACGCACACATGCACACATACCCATGTCCACACGCACGTTCAATTCACACATACACGCACACACGAACACTTTTGTTTATCCCATTGTGCTCATGCGTGGATCCTGCATCCCCTCAACCAGTCGTGTCGTGTTGGGGAGCTTGAGGACGTGGCGGTGATTCTGCGGCGGACGCAGCTCGGGCAGTGCGCGGCGTCGCTCGTTGCGCTGTGCCCGCCCGACGACGCCAACGATACGGACGGGTACGGGGGCAGCACGTTTGGCGATGGCGATGACGGCCACCGCCAGTCCATGGAACACGCAGCCAACCGCGGTGGCGGTGTTGACAACCACAATACCAACAGCAACATCCGCGATGACAGCCATGACAAGGACACCAGCAATGACAGCAGCCGTGGTCATGGACCCAACACAGGTACCACGACAGTCGTCAGTGCTGCCTCACAGATGCATGGGAACACCACCACCGCCGCTGCTGACGCTGACGCTGCTGCTGTCGCCTCTTCTTGCTGTGCAGTGGCGGTCACGAGCGATCACGACCGCAGCGTTCCAAACACATTCTCACCAACGTTCCTCTCCCCAGCAGAGCAGGATGGTGGTGGCAACAACAACAACAACAACAACAACAACAACAACAACAACAACAACAACAACAACAACAACAACAACAACAGCAACAACAACAATGGCACCAAATTGCGTGCAGGAGGCAATGGGGGCGAGAAGCGAATCAGCGCCAGCAACCCCATCACGCTGTCGCTTCCCCGCCCAGCAGGGAACGTGTTCAGTCAAATTGGTGTTCTCCGCAACACCACCAACACCATTGGCGGCGCCCCCGTGATGGATACGAACGGCAACGGCGGTGCAAGTGCAAGTGCAAGCGGGCTGCAGCAGCTGAAGCGACGTCTTCGTCGCGCGCGCTCTGCTGGCGTACCTGGCGTTGGCGCCCGTGATGGCAGTGCCACCACCGCCCATCACCACCTCAACCACCAGCAACATCGCATCATCGTGTCGTCGTCAACATCGCCGTTTGCGGGCGGGTTTGCACGGCGAGCAGCAGCAGCAACAGCAGCGGAGATGGACGACATTGAGGGCAGCGGGTCGCAGCACTCGGCCCTGGCCCTTGCACTGTCGCCGCGACCCGACGGTCACCACCGCACCACTGCCGCCAGGACTGCCGCCACAACGGCTGCTGCTGCTGCTGCTGCTGCTGCTGCTGCTGGTGGTCGAGATGGTGGCCGTGGTGGGATTCGCGTGGAGCGGATTGACTCGATTACGCCGAGCGAGGCCGCTGATGAGGACTTGGCGTCACAGCAGCACTCCATCCCGCACCCGGGCGCCGAACAGGTGTGTGTGTGTGTGTGTGTGTGTGTGTGACTGTGTGTGTTTGTGTCTGTGTGCGACTGTGTGTGTGTGTGCGTGTCTGTGTGTGCGTGTCTGTGTCTGTGCTTGTGCATCTCCTACTCACGCACATGCACACACACTCATAATCCCCTCTCTCTTCCTCTCCTTTCTACCTCCCTCTCCCTATGCGTGGAGTTGCCGTTCACTCACAACCAACCCCACCTGTTGGTCCTCCTGCTCGCCTTGTGCGTTTTGTGCAGCTGAGTTTTGAGTGCCTGATGAAGTTTGTGCAGAGCCTGTGGGACTGCGCTGATGACAACGCCACAGACAAAGAGGACAACGACACGGACAAACACGATGAAGTGGAGGGAGATGCGAGCAACGTGGCTTCGGTGCAACCAACAGCAGCAGCAGCAGCCGTGACCACAACACCAACGCTCGATGACGACGGCGATGACGACGACAGTGACGGTGATGGTGACGATGGTGATGGTGATGGTGATACGCATGCGCAGCAGCAGTTGGCGCTAGGACAGGAGCACCGCGTTGCTGACAACAACAGTGATGGGCAGCAAGCAGGGGACAGGCATGAAGACACTGTTGCACGAACAGCGACACCCGCCGACGACCACGACGGTGGTGAGGATGGCCGTGCCTCGTTGATGGTGGGTGGTGCGTCGCATCAAGTGCAGGGGAACAGCGGCCTGGAGATTTCGGGCCAGGTGGGCAACGAAGACGACGATGACGACGGAGATGATGAAGGAGAGCAGTGTGATGATGGTGATGGTGGTGTTCGAGGTGGTGGTGGTGGTGGGGAAGCGAAGGACGGTGAGGGTGAGCAGGCAAAGGCAAACGGCGGCAAGGACGGACATGACCCTGGCGATAATTGTGGCGGTGCTAACGCCAATCACAATGACGATGACAATGACGATGACGATGACGATGACGGTGTCGGCGGTGTTCCTGGCGAGGATGAGGCACGGGCGGCGGTTGAGCGGCTGATCGGCGATGTCAAGGACCTCTCTGTCCGCAGTCCAAAATGGCGGGACGACTTTCTCCACGCCCTGCGCTCCCGACCCCAGCTCATCGTGCGTGCTTTGTGTCTGCGTGTATGAGTGTGTGCATGTGAGTGTGTGTGTGTGTGTCTGTGTGTGTTTATGTTTGTGTCCGCGCGCGCGTGTGTGTGTGTTTGTGTCTATCTGCGTGTGTTTGTGGTTGTGTGTGTATTTGTCTGTGTCTGTGTTCAAATATGATTGATGCCTTTGTTTTTGTTTTTTTTTTTGTTTCGCATCAGTGATAATCATGGCCATGCCCTCCCTTCTTTGTCTGCTGCCACCGCGCGTGCAGGTGTCGCGTGCGCCAGACCACAGCCCCGTGTGCACGGCGTGTGGCGCTGCCTGCACGCAGTCGTGGAACTTTATGCTTGGCGGCCACGAGTACCGCCGCCACAACCTCTCCCTCAAGGCGTCCCCAGAACACTCGGGTGCGCTTGCGTTTGCGATGTGTTGGTTGTGTTGGTTGGTTGGTTGGTTGGTTGTGGTTGTTTCGTTGTTGGTTGTGTGATGGGCTGTTTGGTGAGCTGTTTCGCTGCAGTACGCACCGATGCTTCCACATCATCCCACTGTATCCCTTGCCCTTTGTCATCCAATTTCCATCATCATCATACAACAGGCAACGCGTTCCGGTCCTTTGTCGTCGGGCGCTCCTGCTACCGACGAGCCCAGGTGCACGCACACACACATACATACACACATACATACACACATACACACACATACACACACACACATACACGCACATGCTCTCCCTGTCTGTGGTCGCCGACCTCCAATCTTCCCTCACTGCTCGCATACCCGTTGTTTGACTCGTGCGCATGTGTTGCATCTGTAGTTGTATCACCAACTCCACCACTTTGCCCACGCCGTGAGCCAAGACTGCAAGAAACAGGCAAGATACAAAGCTTGTGCAGGCCCTGTGTGCGTGACTGACGTGACGCGCGACATCCTCGCCAACTCCTATGACAATCTCACCCCTCTGTGTGTGTGTGTGCGTGTCTGTGTCTGTGTCTGTGTCTGTGTCTGTGTCTGTGTGCGTGTCTGTGTCTGTGTGTGTGTGTGTGTGTGTGTGTGTGTGTGTGTGTGTGTGTGTGTGTGTGTGTGTGTGTGTGTGTGTGTGGACAGGTGCTGCCGGCGCCGCCATCATCCATCCGCGCCGGCCGCGCTGCCCGCCGCTGGGTACGAGATGCAAATGTGCATGGAGAAAGGAGTGGCGTGTGCAGTGCATGTGATACACCGACAACTTGTGATGACCGTCTGCTCCGCTCAACTTGGTTCACATGTATGTGTGCTGTTCCCTGTTGGTGGTGTTTGCAGGCGTCGTGGGCCAAGGTCGTGCAAGCAAAGCTGTGCAATTTACTCAAGCAGGCGGAGCGCTACAACTCGCGAACGGCCATCAATCAGACATGCTAAGGAGGTGGAGAGGGTCTCGGTCTAGTTTTTGTCGTTTGTCCGATGTTCCTCCCAAGGCGTACCCGTGTTCATGCTCGTACACACACACACACACACACACACACACACACACACACACACACACACACGCACGCACACACACACACACACACACGCACACACACACACGCACACACACACACACACATGACTGTACAAGCAATATTTCCTGTTTTGCTTCCAACTGCTGTCCATACGCGTTTGTTTGCGTTGCCAAACATACGGCTGTGCATACACACCCGCACACGTGTGCGTTGTGTTGTTCATTTGGTTCCCGCTGAACACAACTTGTTCTTTTCTTCCACCTGGTGTATATCAGTCGACGTTGTCCTACCAACAGCAAAGTGCACACATGAAACCAAACTAGGGGAACAGCACGGCTGGCCATCATCCCATTCACACACACACACACACACACACACACACACACACACACACACACACACACACACACACACACACACACACACACACACACAGCGGTTGGTTATGCTGTGATTGTGACGCCTGCGTCTGTGAGCGCGGCGCGCACCAGTCGGCCCCACTGCTTCTTGTCTTGAGTTGGTCTGCAAACGCGTCAAGCAACAGCAGCCCGTGTGAATCAAGAGGCACGCAAGGATGGCGGGAAGGGCTGATCAGAGCAACAGAATGAAGAGACAGAGAGAGAGAGAGAGGCACACACACAGAGAGACACACAGAGAGAGAGAGAGAGACAGAGAGAGAGAGAGAGAGAGAGAGAGAAAGGGAGGAACAGCAGCCGAAGCCACACAGCTTTGCACGAACGATACACGCACCTGAACACGAAGAAGGGGAGGGTAATGACGGTGTATCCCATGTTTTTCAGCAGATTCATCTTAAGTCGCGTGCGCCCGTTGGTGATGAGTGCGCTGTTCCGCATTGTCGCTGTGAGCGGAGCGCCGTCCCACCCGCGCTGTCATGTACACGTGGCATGAAGCAGTGGAGCAAGGGAAGCGTGTTATGAGGGACAAGCGTGTGTCAGTGTGTGTGTGTGTGTGTGCAATCTTGTGGGAAACGTGCATGGCGCCGCCAAACCACCATCACCCAACCCCCAATCAAGAAGCCATCTTCTCCTTTCCCTCCTTCTCGCCCTCGTCCTCCACCTGCTTGCAACGTACGGGATCAAAGTCGGCAGCAGCGCCATCGCGGATGCACTGCAGCGGGTCGTCCTGCGTGCACTTCCACCGCCGCTCACTCGCATCCTCATGTGGCACTTCCACAAAGTGCGTCAACCCATCAACCTGAGCACGCGCGCGCGCGCGTGTGTGTGTGTGTGTGTGTGTGTGTGTGTGTGTGTGTGTGTGTGTGTGTGTGTGTGTGTGTGTGTGTGTGTGTGTGTGTGTGTGTGTGTGCGTGTGTGTGCAGAGCAGAGAGCAGTTGTGAGTGGAAGGGAAGGTGAAGATGGTGTGCTTGTGAATGATGAACAGCTGAGGCGACAGCAATGCGCAAGACTCTTGTACGCACGCTCTTGTACGCACACGTGCCGACACCACTGTCACGGCCACCACCACCACTGCTGCTGCTGCTGCTGCTGCTGCACCTCGATGATGGTGTCGTGGTCTGGGATGAAAATGTCGACAACAAACCCGTTGATCTTCGCTTCCACATCCACGCGCTCAAACATGTTCATCCCTTTCAACTGCACGTGCGTGCGCCAGACCATGTGGAATTGCGAGCACGCGCGTGTGTTCATGTGCGTGTTCATGAGGAAAGTGAGGAAACAGGTGCGTTTGGGTGTATCGGTGAACTTTCATGAGAAACGACAGCTACGACAAAGACCATTGTGACAAGCGCCATTTGTGAACGCACGCATGGTTCACTCTCAGCCCCCACGCCGGACAATACAAAAACCACCACCACCACCAGCAGCACTTCCCTTCAATCACGAGAAAGGATGCTACACAACCCAGCACTCACCGCAGACACGATGTCTCGCTGCATCTGCGACTCCTGGACGCGCGAGGAGGAGCCTGAGTCATCCTGATGCAATCAATCAAGATGTCAAGGTGAGGGCAGATTGCGCCATTCGATAAATTGATTGAGTAGCAGATGGTGGGATGAAGCAGCAGAGCGCGATGGGGTTGGATGAATCAAATGGTGGTGAGTGTGTGAGTGGAGATGGTCTTTGCATGAACAGATCTGGCACGAGTGGGGGGGGGGAGGGTCAGGTCATAACTGCTGACTGGAGTGTGCTCGATTGCGTTGCAATCACGTGTGTGTGTGTGTGTGTGCACCATAGCTTACAATCATTTCGTGGAGGCAGGCGCCAGCGGCCTGGGAGAGGTGGTGCGGAACATTGAAGTCGCTTTGCCAAAATACCCACGACAGAACCTGGCGCACACGTACATGTGTGCATGTGTGTAATGTTACAACGAGAGCACAGCAGAAACAACCATGCAACGACGCCGTTGTTGCCCTCCTGTACATCTAAACACGTCCTCCCTCCCCGCACTCCCTCATTCATCCATCCATCCCCCCCCCAACTGTTCGACTGTTCGACTGACCGGAAAGGCGCGTCGTGTGCTTAAGCGGTCGCTGCGCTGGCGGTAACCGACAATGACGCGTTCAACCAGCGGCCAGTGCTCCGGCGTGAACTTGCCTGCAAGCAAAAAAGAAAAACAACACAAGCAATGACAGCGGTGATGCGACGATGGACGCCAAGGTCACATAGTGGCAGCGATGGTGTGGGAAACAGCTATGAAAGCTTCAAACACGAGCACGCGCAGACACACATGCACAAGCACGAGCAGACACACGCAAGAACAAGCACACACACACGCCAAAGTACACACACACACACCAAAACACACACGCATCCAAGTACAAGTACGCACGAATGCACACATGTGCGCACCTGAGACGATGAGAGCAAAGACAAAGGCGGTGAGCGTTGGCCACGGGGTGTTGGGGCTGGCGTATGCCTCGTCAAGTGCGGAGATGAGCTTGTCGGGAATGTCCACGCGCGCGTTGGCGAGGGCGGTGATAAAGGGGGCTGCGTGCCACGACTGCCTCTTGTTCTTTGCAAGTTGGATCAGGTGGGGATAGCACTCTGCATCAAGGAACGGGCAGGCAGGGCGGTGGTGTTGGGTTTTGGGATGAACGAGGAATTGACACATGCGTCAGTCTGAATGCAGCACCAAGAGATCAACATCAAATCAGCAACTGCCACGCGCACTGTTGCCTTGTCTGGACTCACGCTTGAGTGCCTCGCCTGGCGGCTGGATGCGATTGACGCTGCAGAAACGGATCAGCGTGATGCAGGACGCGCGGTCCGCCCTTCCTTTCAACCGATCGAGAACAATTCGCTTTGTCTGGCCGTCCAGGGGCACCTGAGTGATGATGTTTATGTGCGTGTGTGTTCATGTTCGTAAGGGCGAGAAAGAGAGAGAGAGAGAGAGAGCGTGTGTGTCTGTGTGTGTGTCTGTGTGTGTGTGTGGGTGTGTCTGTGTCTGTGTCTGTCTGTATGTGGGTGTGGACCTGCGTGTGTGTGGACGTGTGTGAATGCGCGCATGCAAGCAACCACATCACTCCGCTCGACACTGCCCACCTTGAGTTTGAATGTGGCGTTGAGAGCTCGGTGTAGACATGCCATTGCATCGTCCTCCGCCTCACGCGCCAGAATTGTCCTGATGGCAACAAGTGCACGCAGCCATGGAAAGCAAGCAACAAGACGAAGAGGTGTGTGTGTGTGTGTGTGTGAGTTTGTGTGTGTGTGTGTGTGCGTGTGCGTGTGTGTGCGTGCGTGTGTGTGTGTGTGCGTGCGTGTGTGTGCGTGCGTGTGTGTGTGTGTGTGTGCGCGTGTGTGTGTGTGTGTGTGTGTGTGTGTGTGTGTGTGTGTGTGTGTGTGTGTGTGTGTGTGTGTGTGCAACAGCAAACGTCAGCAAGAGCAATGATGTGCCTACCGAATGATTCTTGAAAACTGGTCACGGTTGCGGTGGTGTGTAAGGACGTGAATATCAAGCGTCTCTGCTAGCTGCTCCAGCGATAAATCCTCCAGCCGAAGGTTGTCAAGCAATATCTGACATCAAGACACATGATAAGGCAATCCCCTAACGGTTGAGAACGCACACGCAGTGATGACAGTGCACCTCTTTTTCCAAGCTCAAGAGCACACACACACACACACGCACGCACACACATACGAAGTGCATACACACATCCCCCCCCCCGCACACAGCTGCACGTACGGCAATGGATGGCCCAAGGTTGGCGGAGGCTGGATTGCTGGCTGCGCCCGTGTCGTCCACAAGGCGCGCAAGCCGCTGCGCCACGACCAATGCCTCCGCTGCGTAGTCAACTGCAAAGTTGGGTGTGATGATGGGAGACAGGAGCCGCACGTAGTTGGGATCGCCGTGGTCGGCAATCTCCGATGACAGCATGACCAGCTCCAGCGGGCTGGCCGAGACGCAGCGAGACTCCAGGATGGAACTCGCCTTGTCCGACACGCTCTTCATGCCCTCTTGCAAAAAGATGTCACTCCTCACGAGATCCTTCAGCAGCGCCTCCACATGAAAGAGGACGGGCAGGCGCTCTGTTGCCAGCACTGCTGTGAGTCGGCTGAACGTGTCGCTGGTGCTCTCGCCGGTGCTTTGCGCCCCCGTTTTCTCCGCCGTGGCGCTGCTGTTGGCCGAGCGTCCACTCGCCACCGCATCTGTACTGGAATCCACATGGTTCTGCTGCACCAGGCTGCGAATCGCATCAAACATACCAGCGTACATGTCACCCTCCGACATGGGCGATGCGGTACTATGCGCCTGCTGTGGTGGTTGAGGCTGTGATTCCGGTTGCTGTCTCAGTGACGCGATGGCATCCAACCTCGCCAGCACCTGCTGCCTGCTGGTACGCGTCGACAAGTCTTGTTGCTCACTCTTGTTGTTGGTGGTATCTTTTCTTGTGCTCTGGCTGCTTCGGCTGCTTCGCGTCACGCTCTTGCCCGATTGTGGCGCGTGCTTCTGGCCTGAAGATGCGCACCGCCTTTGTTCAAGACCGGGGCCAAGGCAGCTCCACTGGCAGTGCCCCTGCGAAACCCACGGCACCATGGCACGTGATAGTCGACCGTGCGGCCATTGCTGTGGCCGTGGCTGCTGTGCTTGTCGCTGCATGTGCCTGCAGCCCACGACAAGCAGCCGTCTCGCCACCACCATCTGCTGCTGCATTGCGCGTTGATCGTTCTGTTGTTCGTCGTCGTGCTTCTGAAGAATATTCGCTGACATGTTCACAAATCTTCACAACTTCAAACAGGACTTGTTGGTGGTTGGTGGTTGGTGGTTGTTGGTCTCGCGCACACCACTCACACACATCAAACGCACGGAAGGCCAACGATGAGCGACGCGGAGGACGTGCGAGACGACACGTTTGTTGTCGCGGGTAAGCATATGCCTTCTTGCGTGGCGAGCGCGCAGTGTGCTGCTCCGTACACCTGTGCTGTACAATGCTACGTGTGTGTGTGTGTGTGTGTGTGTGTGTGTGTGTGTGTGTGTGCATAGGCATGGGAATGGATAGATGCGCTGACTGTGCCTTTTGGCGTGTGTGTGTATGTGTGCACAAACATCCGCAGTCCATGGCGCACCGGCTCTGCGCGATGACATTATCCCCGAGATTCAGAGAAGGCTTCCCCTCTCCAAGCTGAGGTCTGTCGTGTGTGTGTGTGTGTGTGTTTGTGTGTGTGTGTGTGTGTTTGTGTGTGTGGGTGTGTGGGTATGTATGTATGTGGCGTGCGTGTGGTTAAGATGAGGTGGAGATGACGTGTGCAAACGTGCGGGCGCTTTTGTGCCTTGACGTGCTCGCGTTCTACTCAACCTAGTTTACATTTACGCACACGCATACTCACATATTGACGTACACTCGTACTTACACATATTCATGCACACTCACACACGTACACCACGGCACACACTCAGGTGGAAGAGCACAACGCTCGGTCGCGATCTGTTTGTGCCAGTGCTGCCAGCCACGGTTCGGCCGTTCTCATCGGAAGACGTCATGCCACCATCCTCAACTCACACCTTCCACCGACAGCCCATCCTGCACATCTGTGCCGTCGCTTGCCAGGTCCGGCGTATGGCCGTGGTGTGCATGTGGCTACACGCGTGCACAATGCTCTTGGTGCTTGGCGTCTACTGAAATGGGCAAAGTAACCGGACCCTTCCTCGACTTTCACACACTCACACACACACATATTCACACACACACGTATTCACACACACACACACACGTATTCACACACACACACACACAGGACTTGAACGAATATCGACAGAAGCGACGTGTGGAAGTGCTGCAGTGGCACGAACAGGTCCAGGCACGCAGCCACGCCGGGTGGCTCATCGTGCACGTGACACCAACACCAGCCCGCGCAAAGAGCATGCGGCTGTCCCTTCGCGAAGACGTCCTGGGCCGCCTGCGCAGCGATTTCGGGGGGAAGGGACAGGCAGATGCGTGCCTGCAACTGCCGCTGACGGGAGCGTCGATTGCGCGCGACCTGCACGATAACGTGTGGGGCGCGTTTGTTGCTCGCATGAGAGGCGTCTTCATCCAGCACATCGAGTTCAGGTGCGCTGTCGTTGTTGGCAACGCTTGCCAGGGTCACACACCTCTGGGGAGAGGGAGTGCAGCGCAAGTGCACGCACAAACAAACACACACGCGTGCATGCATGCATTGACGAAACTGTACATCGTGACAGCTGAGTGTACAACGTACATGCCCTCACGGACGTTGTTGCTCATGCTTCCTGCATCTTCACACTCACGTCCACACATGCACACACATACACGTGTGCTGGCAGGCTGCGATGGTTGAGCGAGCGGGCGCAGGTGAGAATTCCGCCGCATTTCTCGTCAGCGCCGGCCATCGCCGTTGCCGCCACCGGCCGATACGACAAAAAGCAGAGCAGCAGCAGCAGGCATGACGAGGCGTTCATCACATCTGTCATCGAGCAGGTGTTGAAGTGGACACGACGCCCGTATGTGTGTGTGTGTGTGTGTGTGTGTGCCTGTGCCTGTCTGCGCTGCTGTCTGTGTTGCTGTCTGTGTGTAAGTGTGGATAAATGTACTTTCACACTTGTATGTGTGTGTGTGTTTGAGAACACTCGCGTGCCAAGGAACTCCCCTCACGCATCGCCTCCGTATGCGTGTGCGCAGGATGATTTGGCGCTGTGCTTGCAAGCATCTGGACTGCGATCAGACGCATGTGCCGTGTATCGAAAACTCCTGCATGATATCCACACATTCGCTGAGAACCACGCGCGAACCTTGCCCCTCTCGTTTGCCCCCGTGCGAGGTAAGCGATAGCTGACCACACAAGCTGGTGAAGGCTCATTGCGGCGTGCATGCGTGTCTTCCTTCACACCGATTGTTCTCACAGCCGCCACCTGCAATGCTGTCAACACCTGTACACGTTGTGGCAGAGACCGTATTCGGAAGCGACACGCCTCAACAACAACAACAACAACAGCAGCAGCAGCAACAGCAACAACAGCAGCAGCAGCAGCAGGCCGCCCTGTGTGTGTTTGGCGCTGCGCTGTGCTCGCCAACACAACCACCATCGTCATCGTCATTGCAGGCAGTCGCAACTGCATCACCCTCGTCGTCATCAGCAGCAGCAGCAGGAAAACTGGACAGTTTTTCCTTTTCGTCTGCGCGTCTTGCCCGCACGCGTGAGCGTATGATTTCGCACAGGGCGGCGCTTGTGGACGTGTACATGTACACATATGCACGATACGCGCGTGTGCTGAGAGCTCAACGTGACATCAACGCTGCAGTGGATGTTGTGCTCGAATGCATTGTCACCCTCTCCCACCTGCTCCATCAGTGGCCAGCGTGAGTTTGTGAACGACCGTGTATGTATGTATGTGTGTGTTTGTTTGTTTGTGTTTGTGTGTGTGTGTGTGTGTTTGTGTGTGTGTGTGTGTGTGTGTGTGTGTGTGTGTGTGTGTGTGCGTGCGTGTGTGTGTGGTGCTGGAATCGTGCGACCTACGTGTTCAGTTTCATTCCTGTCATCACCATCACCATCACCACTGTCACCACCGTCAATGTTGTCATCACAACAGGGTGTCGTGCAGTGCGCGTGCTCGGGAGTGGCGATGTGTCACCGCCCTCGACGCCATCCGCTTCATCCATTCCTGCAGCCGCGACCAACGTGAGCCGCACACGCCCAACACCTTGTTGTATGCGCGTATGTATGTATGTATGTATGTATGTATGTATGTATGTATGTATGTATGTATGTATGTATGTATGTATGTATGTATGTATGTGTGTATGTGTGTATGTGTGTGTGTGTGTACGCCTACACTCACTCGGTTGTGAATTGTGCCTGCAAGCATTAAGCCGTCGCGTGCACACTCACACCCTACCCTCATCGTTGTCCACGTGTTCCTCTCCCCAGACATGACCGCACCCCTTGGCGTCAACTTCGGCATCTTGCTCGACTTCACAGCGCGGTGCATGGTGGCGTTTGGCGCACACGTGCACCGCCATCTCCCGCACCACCGCCCCTTTGTCGCCGACGCAACGTCCGCTGTGCACGACATGTGCACGTGGCGTCCATCCATGCAAGGTGCCAAGATGAGGTGGTGAGGGCAGGGACAGTGGAGTGGGGTTGCACTGTGCTGTGTGGATGGTATTTGTGTCACTCGAACACAATCTCGGCACCAAACAAGCACACAGTAGGGCCACATGTTGGCACACACACACACGCTCACACGAGCTCATCGCTTGTCCAACCCCCATGACCTGTGCGTTGGCAGCCTTGTCATCGACCCCGTCGAAGGCCATGGTCGCGGTGTCATCGTCGTCATCGTCTTCTTCGTTCCTGTCTCCGCTCAACAGCCTGACAGCAAGTCCCGCTCGCCACATCACACAACAACAACAACAACAACAACAACAACAACAACAACAACAACAACAGCAACAACTTCAACAACAACAACTTAAACAACAACAACAAGCAGGTGGTGACAATGGTGATGATGCGTGTGAGTTACAGCTGCAGCAGAGAGCGGAATCAATTCCACTTTCGCCTGAGCATCACCACATCCCCGCTTTTCCGCACACTGAGAGCAACGCCAGCCCGCGAACTGGCCACGTAGTTCGCAGACATGACGAAGAAGACAATGATGATGGCGGTGAAGGTGATGATGATGGTGATCACAGTGGTGGTGTTGCTGGTGACGAGAACAACAGCGGCACCGGTTGTGCTGACGGTCGTCAGAGTCACGACGATGAAGTGTTGCAGGAGCTGCTTGTTGTGCACGAAGCGTCTGTTGCGGATGCTGATGGCGATGATGACGGCGACAGCGTTGATGGCGTGTGTGGCGGCGGCGTGGAGGTTGTGCTTCATGGAGATGACGCGACACACACGCACGTACCCGCTGACACCGACCACAACCAGCAGCAACCATCCCGACAACAAGTACAACACCACCCGCATCCTGACCCGAGCATGAATGGCGCTATTGTTGTTGCTGCTGCTGCTGCGGGACGGCCCGGTGCCGACGATGACGGCCGCTCAGACAACACGATACAGATGCACAGGGCGCGGTCGCCCCGGCCACCACCGCTGGCACCACCGGAGCATGAGAGCCCGCTGGCGCTGTCGACATCAGCACAGTCGGCCGTGAGTGGGGATGAGGGCAGCAGCGTCGCGTCGTCGCGGCCGTCAACGTGCGAGCCAGACGCATTCACGCGTGCAGGGGCACACGCGCAGCAGCGGTGGCTGCAGCCCGGTGAGTTGTGGTGTGCACACAATTGTCGTGTGATTTTTATCTTGTGTTTACATGTTCAAGATGGATGAAAGGAGGAGAATTTGTGGTTACATTATCTGTCTCGTTTTTGACTGCCACTCGCTGTTCTAACTCACCTGATGCGTTCTCATCCTTTGTTCATGTGCATATGTGCGTGTGCGTGTGCGTGTGTGTGTGTGTGTGTGTGTGTGTGTTCAGACAACTCTGATGTCGTTTCGCCGCTCGATTCTCCAATTCGCCGGACTGCGCCATCACCGCTGCGCAGAACACAGCGAGGTGTGAACATGTGTGTGTGTGTGTGTCTGTATTTGTGGTTATGTGGGACCGTGCACGTTTGTGACGCAGCCACAGTGCACAGCACCTGCGCAACCGCAACCACATGTTTGCACCCGCACTCACGTCACTACCTGTGCACTCGTGTGTCATGGACAGGCGAACCCCGACAACAATGCCTTCAGGCAACGCTTGAGAAACGATCATCGCGCAGCATGTACGCGCAAGGGTTGCATTTGCATCGTGTGTGCTAAGTTGCACAATACACACTAATGCGCCGCACTTGCAACTTGCATCTGCACTCACTCGCCACCCAAATTGCTCTATGGCTTGCGTACACACACACACACTCTCTCTCTCCACTCACGCAAACACACACTCTCTCCCCACTCACGCAAACACACACACATGCGCACACACATGCGCACACACATGCGCGCACACACATGCACACTCACGTGCTCGTTTTGACAGCCTGCGCTCATGCCAAGACCTGTCGACGTTTTCGTCCGTGACCATCAACATTGCGGAGGCGAGCATGCATCACTTTCAGATGGTATGAAACCCATGTTTTGCTGTCATGCTCATTGTAACACAAGAGGCCCAGCCTGCAGTGTTCTGCTCAACGTACTAGCATGCAACTTGTCTCCTGCACGAACACAAACACACACGAACGCACACACGCGCGCACAATTTCTCGTACCAGCCATACTTACTCTCCCCCAACCCTCTCCAATCCACACCAACACTTACCGCCACATCATCCCCTCCCTGGTCAGCTGCCAAAGCGGCGCCTGGCGCTGGTTGCAATGCTGCAACTCGCTGCTCTCCACCTCGCACTCGGCAATCCCGTCGAGGCACAAGCCCTCTTTGCACACGCTGCCAGGTGCATGGCCTGTCCAGCTGTTCATGTACATTCGTGTGCGTCTGTGTACGTCCGTGTGTGTGTGTGTGCGTCCGTGTGTGTCTGTGTGTGCACGCGCGCATGTGCAAATGAGAGCCTGTCGTGTGGTGCTCCTGACTAACCTCCTCCACACACACTTTCCCACACAAGACGTACACAACTCACACATTCTCATGCTTGTGCTGTTCGTGCACTCTCCACAGGCAAGCGCAGGCCGACCGCTGGCTGTCGTTGCAGCTGGAGGCGCTACAAGGGCTGTGCGCGTGCCACGCTGCGAACATGATGTGGTCGCGCCTTGCGTCATGCTGCTGCCGGGTTCTCGCTGCACTCGCACGCATCGACTCCACCGTACTCTCCACTCGCCACAGCCCACCGACACAACTCGCGGTGTGTTTCGAAGCGATGCCTGCTGCGGTTGTGTGTGTGTGCGTGTGTGTGTGTGTTTGCTCTGATGGAATGGTGTTGCTCGATCTTGCACACATAATGTGCGCGCTGTGTGTCCTTCCCACGCCTGTATGCTGTTTCATATCAACTGCACCCTCTATCGTGCTCCTCATTGACTTTGCTGGCGTACACCACATCGTCACCACGCCTGCTAGCGCGAGTATTTGGAGCTGTTGTCTGCGATCACGCAGCACTCGCCATCCCTCCCACCGCTGTCACCAACACAGCTGCTGCAGGCCACCAAATGCACGCTTGTGCTGACGACGATTGCACACGGTGCTCGGGACGCGCGTGACAGTGCAGACGCAGCACAACATGGTGTTGCATTCCATGCCGGCAGCACGATTGCAGTGGATTTGGTGCGTTCAGCAAGCAGGACAGATGTGGTTTCGTTGTATTGAGAGTTACGCATGCATCGTACACACATGTACTACACGCACTCGTGTGATCGAATTTCTCCTCATTACCGTTTTGAAACCCACTCACTTACTCACACACCCACTCACTCACTCACTCACTCACTCACTCACTCACTCACTCACTCACTCACTCACTCACTCACTCACTCACTCACTCACTCACTCACTCACTCACTCACTCACTCACTCACTCACTCACTCACTCACTCACTCACTCACTCACTCACGCACTCACTCACTCACGCACTCACTCATCCACGCACTCACTCATCCACGCCACACACGGGGATGCAGACCATCACAAGCCAGGCGCCGCTCTCGCTGACGTTTGACACCATTGAACTACCATGCTCTCCCCTGCACTATCATCCTCATCTTCATCGTCAACATCAACAACAGCTCTCACTGCCGCCGCTTGACCAACACGACAGCGACAAATCCGACAATGACAGCGACCAGCAACAGCAAGACAGGCCAAGTCCCCACACTGCACACTCTGACAGAAGCAGCACCAGCAGCACCAGCAGCAGTGACGATGGTGATAACGATGATGCTGCGTCATCTCTTGTTCTTCGCGCAACGACGGCGCCAATTTTGCTTGAGCCAGAGGGCAGAGAAACGCACATCCACTTGCAGGCCATTGCCACAAGGTGCGCCACCGCAGCTCTGTGTGTGTGTGTGTGTGTGTGTGTGTGTGTGTGTGTGTGTGTGTGTGTTTTGTGTGTGGGGGGGGTGTATGTGTGTGTTTGTGTGTGTGTGTTGAGTAGCGTTGTTGTGGCTGACTGAAACAAACTCGAGCATGAGACGCCACTTCACACACGCACACACACATTCTTTCACACGCACACTCACACACGCACTCACACACGCAACCATACACTCACATACACACACCAGAGGGGAGTATCGGGCGTCGTCTGTCGAGTTGCGAATGCACAACGCCGTCTTCACACTGCCGTTGGAACAGCTGTCAAATCCACTTCATTTCCGTGTGTCGCCAGCTGTGGATGACGTGCGGCTGTTTGCAGAGTGTGAAGCGAGCACACGACACACAAACATGCACAAGAACGGAGGAAAAAGTGGGGCGCCGTCGCTGCAGCACGACGTGACCACGTGTGGTGTGCTTGAACGGCAGCACCAACCATTGGTGCTCGTGTTTGGCTGCCAGCAACACCATACACTGACCCTGTGCCCTGGTGCCCTTGGCACGAAAGCCCTGCGCGCTTATGTGCAGTCGCAGTCGCCGCCACTGTCCATCAGCCTTGATGCCATCGTCACCACTGCATCGACCAGCCACAATGACGCCCATAGCAACAGCGACGACGACACTGTGCAACCCGCACAACGCGATGACGCAGCCACGATGGCTGTCGAAGGTGGGGAGCTGACGGTGCGCGGTGCAAACCAACAGCACGTCCGCCTGCGCGTGTGCTCGACAACAGTAAAGCGCTCGCGCCGCCAACGCCTCGTGACAACATGCAGCACGGCACACGCACCATCGCCAACACCAGCGCACCAGAATCATGAGCATCGCCAACATCGCCCTTCAATTGGAGACCAGGGCCAAGTCTTGCTGCTGGGCAGTGGTGAGCACGACGATAATGCAGATGATGTTGTTGCTGTTGATGATTACAATGCCGATGATGACGACGAGGATGAGGATGGACCGCTGGCTGTAGATGCGCACGTGACATACACCCAACTCACATCTCTTGAGCGCAAGTCACACACGCGCAGACTTCCTACGCGGTCAGTGTTGTCTGTGCTGCTGCTGCTGCTGCTGCTGCTGCTGCTGCTCGCTGTGCGTTGATGGTCGCAAGTGCATATGTTTACACGCGCACACCCACAGTCACTTTCACCTCTGTAGCGTTTCCTTCACACACACTCAAACTCACACTTCCACTTCACTTTCGCTTCCGCCGTCAACTTGCACTAACTCATACTTACACAAACTCGTCGCCTCGCATGTATGGGTGGTTTGTTACACTGGTACAGTGTGTGTGATCTAGTGGCAGCGCGTTGTTGCTCTTGGGTTCAGGACTCACGCGTAATCCTGCGCATCGCACTCACTGTAAGCATATTGATTGTCCTGATGCAAACTGAAGCTTCTCTGTTCTATGTTTTGATGCAACCATATGCACCTGCCCGTATTCCTCCCATTTACGCTCTCTCAATCGCGGAACACACACACACACGCATGCATGCACGCTGCAGGACTTTGCTGCTGCATGTCGTGTTGAGACGGCGACGCTGACCTTTGAAGACAGTGCGACTCAGCTGTCGTACACATGCACGCCGCTGTTCCCGACGGACGTGCCCTTCACTGTCTGCCATCCACGCCAAGAGATCACACTTGCGTGGATGCTGAGTTTGCACAGCAGCAGCAGCGACAGCAGCAGCAACAGTGACACCGGCAATGACAGCAGCAACAACGCATTGCCGTCAACGCAGACGCCTGAGGTTGACGGACAACAACAACAACAACAACAACAACAACAACAACAACAACAACAACAACACGGCATGCAGCAACTACTTCAATCCATGACCGCGACCGCTGGGCTGTCAGTTGCTGTGTCGCCACTTGGTGACGAGCGCAATCACGCTGACAACGACACGTGTGACCAATTGGTGTCGTTCAACAACGCCCACACCATCGAATGGGATGTGGAGCTGCACCATCCCCGCTTCCTCCTGGAAGCGCAATGGCGCATTCCTTCATCCCACTCAAACGACAACGCCAACACCAGCATGGATAACGACAACACCGACACCGACACCGAGGGCATGTGGCCGGCTGGTCAGTGGATTGAGGTCACGTGCGCCCTCCACCTTCGATCGCTCGCTATTGAGTCTGCACCCGGAGCAAACACGACGCAGGATCGACGTGCATGTGTTGGCGTTCCGGTGCACATTACAGTTGGTGCTGGGTGGCTCGTATCGGGTGCTGCGTCACGTGTCGTGCCAATGGAGGTTGGTGGCACCACCAACATGAACGTCATTCTGCTGCCACTCGTCAGCAACGCACCACCCAAGCCAACACTGTCCGTACAAGTGAAGGCTGACGGTGACAGCACCACCACTCACGCGACAACGCCCGTCATTGTCATCAACACCACGCACAATTGAGGGTGTGTGTCTCTGTCTGTGCATGTGTCTGTCTGTGTCTGTGTCTGTGTGGAAGTGTTGAACACACCTGTGTGCGTGTGTGCGTGTGTGTGGTTGTGTGCATTGCGAGCCATTCGGTTTCAATAGGACAACGAGTGAGCGGGGGAATTGCAATCGAGCAGAACCAAGCACACGTGTGTGTGTGTGTGTGTGTGTGTGTGTGTGTGTGTGTGTAAACGACGACGATGCAACCGCAAATAAACGAAATTGAGCCAACAACAGCCCTCGCCAGAACCAGTGACAGCAGAAGCAGGGGGTGAACGAAGGAGAGGAGAAGTGAGCGGGCACGTGTTGTGTTCTGCACGCGTTGTGCGTGGCGAAAGAGCTCACAGCTCTCCAACACAGGCCTCTCCCTGATCATGTGTTGTGACAAACGAGGAGAGTATTACAGTGAGCGTGCATGCGGCCACCAATCAATGCAACAAATAAAGCAAACACGCGGTCACACAATCACAAGTGCATGTACGTGCACCGACACAAGTGCACAAAAAAATGCAAGCAATCAAAAACAAACGCACAGCACAAACAAGCAAACACACAAGAGCAAACACAAAAGCACACAAACACACAAACAAACACAAACACGGGGCAGCACCTCATAGCAGAGATCGCCGGAGCGCATGGAGTTTCCGAGAACGCGCGTGAGGCGGTGGAGGTTTTGCCACCACGTGTGCCTGAACGAAGGCGGAGGGTGGGTGACGGTTGGTGTGTGGTGTCAGAAACAATGAATGGGCGTGAATATGGTCTGGGGACAGGGTGAAAGGTGTGGCATGTGAAGATTGAAAGGACACAAACGGAACTAATAGCGCATCGCTCACACGCGCATTCGTTGAAACACGTGCATGGACACGGTCTTCAAATCAGTCCCAAGTCAACCCATATTCAGCCACTGACTTGTTGGTGCGGAGAGCAACGTCCGTGATTGGCTCCAGTTGCTGTTGTGCCGCAGAACAAGCCAAGCAGGGAGGATAGGAAGGATAGGAAGGATAGGGAGGATAGGGAGGATAGGCCCATGAAAACGCATAAGGAGTTGTGAGATCAGGAACACAGCAACCTACTCTCCAAAGCCGACGTACAAACCAAGCAACCACGTGCAAGGCATCATGTGTGTGTGTGATGTGTGTGGGTCGAACCTCAAAAGCGGTGGCCGTGCGAGCGCTGTCGTGTGTCCCAATGACAGCGGCACTGGAGCAGGGGACGATTAGAGGATGTGAGACAGGCGACTGAGTACGCGATCACACGCAGATGCACATGCGCATGCACGCGCACATGTTCGCGTCCACCAACACGTACATGCACGCGCAGATGCATATGCACACACGAACACTCACAAACGCAAACGCGCGTGCATGACAGGACGAACCTCTCTGGTGAGTTGGTGGAGACGACGCCGTTCTCGTCCACGTTCTCCGTCATGTGCTGCAGCAGGAACTGCACACAGCTCGCCCCGAGCCGGCAGCCGTACACGCGGTCGAGCGGGGAGGGGGTCCCACCCTGTTGCGCAAACAGGAGGTGATGGTGAGCAGAGCGAATGAAGGCGGTTGAATGTGTTACCCGCGTGGATACATCGAGGTTAGCACACAAACATGCGCACACCCGCGCGCAACAACAACAACAAAACAAACCCTCAAGCCGTACTGACAAACACATGTGATCACCAACACCCTGGACAACTGTGCTGCACCTGCTGCAAGTGCCCGAGAATGACAGATCGCACGGAAAACGCCGTATCGTCCTTCGTCTCCGGCTTTCCTTCCTCATCAAGAACTGGCAACACAGCAGGCATGTCGTGTGAGTACATGTGTGTGTGTACAAGTGTGTGTGTGTGTGTATGTAGGGTGTCGACAAATTACTCTTGGTTTGGAATGAGGTGACCACATTACAGCATGCGTCGGTGTTGCTCAATGTCTCTTCCTCCTCCTGCTCTCGCCAGTCACCTTTGCTGAGGAATTGGGTGTCATAGTTTTGGCTGCTCCGCTCGCTGCGCACAATCACCGCACACGACAGCTCCTGTGTTGGTGCATGCGGCAGACAAAGAATTGTCAAGTGGCAGGAAGGGGAGTGGCAGACAGTGAGCGGCATGCAATTGACACACGAGCAGTATCAAGCCCAGCAGTACGCAGCAATACACGCACACACACAAACAAAGGTCCACACGCACTCACACGCGCACTCACACGCGCACTCACACACAGGTCCACACACTCACACACGCGCGCGCTCACACAGGTCCACACACACGCCCACACGCCGCTTTCTACATCACGCTTGCCACAACTGTAACGACATTGATGATGGCTGCACCTTGAACTTGCGATGTAGGTTTGCAATGTCTGCAGAGATGTGGCGAAGGCGCACGCCCTCTTCACGGATGTACGCGACTGCATGGGCAAGCACATTGCGAAAGGGAGGTGAGCAAGGTGACCTTGATAGTGGTGATGAAGCACGTGTAGCGAGGCATCGCTGTGAGACATTGCAAAACCATGAGAGACTGCAAATCACAGACTGGACCAGGTTTACACACGCACACAGACACACGCACACGCACACGGACACACACGTCTGTGTGCATGCATGCAAGCAACACATGCCCGGGCGATGACTCACTGTCGGCGCCGCCTGCGAGCGCGCCGATGGAGGCGAGGAAGCCGCAGTTGTGACCCTGCGTCTCAACAATAAACACGCGCCTAACACAGTGGCATCGTGACATCATGGCATTGTGGCATTGTGACATTGTGGCAGCGGTACGGGGCGGTCACGGATGGTATGCACACGACCAACAACAACAACAATCAACACGAAAGGACTGTTGTACAGCACCACTCACAA